CACACACACACACACCCTCTTCTTTATATATGTAGATAAAACGAACAAAACGAGAGTATCATTGAATATGGATATAAAAAACAATTCATATAGAAATTTTGATAAATTTTTTCAAAGTCCAGTGTCAAGTCTTTATAACATTGAATAAAATAGAATGTTATAGCAGTGAAGTCAATTAAGTAGCTACACGTAGTTGAGCTGAATTTATTGAAATATATGATTTTATTATTTATTTTAGTAATACTAATATATAATTCCGACATAATAGAATAAAAATGAGTATCAAATGACTTTTTTATAACTGCGACAAAGCACGTCACATCGAGAGAAAAAAAACAGAAAAATCATACATCTAATACTAAATGCTATCAATACAGCCAGACAATTGTCAATATTTATCAAGAGAGCTCTATGTTAGATCTCCCATTTAACTATTTTATTATTATCATTATCATATAAGCGCCGATTTGAATAATGTCAAAATTTTCACATATAATATTTTTTCTATGGACATTTAATGGCTTACAATCAATCTTTTATGATACCGATCAATTTGGATTCGATTGTTTGCATTATTTTTCAACTAAGGTTTTCTTCTTTTCTGAAATAGTCAAGTATTGTATTCGTCCCAAAAATGATACGAATTCGATAATGGTTGAATTTTTTAATATATCTGATGATTATTTGACTTTCGATGAATTATACCATTTGAACATAACATCACATGAAATTCTCCTGTGGTCATCATCAATTGATCTTGCTGAACAATATGAGTACTATCTTGATCAATCAACTCAATCTAATCTATCAAATGAAAAATTCTTTAATTGTACACAGCCATGGTTTGGATCACGATGTCAATATTCATTGGAAATAAAAGAAGGTGTATTAGTCGGAAAATCATTTGAAACAGCTTTAACTGATAATATATTTGATGGAACGTGTTATATTCTTTTAGAATGTAATCGTGGTGGACCATCGATGTGTCTTGATTGGCGTGAGATCTGCGATGGTCGAATTGATTGTCTTAATGATGGTATTGATGAAATTCAATGTTTCAATTTAGAAATTAACGAATGCAATGAAAACGAATATCGATGCCATAACGGATTGTGTATTCCAAAACTTTTTTTGGAAATGGATTTTTCTGAAGCACAATGTCTTGATAGATCAGATTATTTAGTTAAAAACTCGTTGTGCCTAAGATTTTATTTCCGTCTGAATCTGTTTGAATGTCAAGAATTTATTTGTCGACCTGATGAAGGTAAATTCTTGTGTGGTGATGGACAATGTGTGGAAGATTATGGTCAATGTCAAACTAATCGACATCTTTCATTAGCTCAATCGGTTAGTGTTCAAGGAAATTTATCATACGAGTGTTGGATAAGCATGGTTTGTCTTACGAAAATAATGGACAAAATTGAGAATGTATCATGTGATGAGTTCATTCAATCTTCTGACATTATCGAACAATTAAAAAGTTGCAAGTTTCCTCTTCAATTTCCGATTATTCCTGTACTCTATGGTCATGTAACATTTTTATATCATCCAAAAGAGATTGACAATATTAATGTTACATTACCTCTTAAACCTGATTATATCTGTTATGATAAACAATTATGCGATTTCCTCACACCTACATTTCGCCATGAAACTTTGACTTGTCGCTCTGGTGATCAGATGAATCTTACGATGAATACTGAATTGACTAGTTGGAAATCAATTATCGATTCAATTAAACCATACTTTGATGGTTGTATTACTCAACATTATCATATCATCGATTCTTATGATTCACCATTATATCATTGTAAAAATTCGTCGAAATATATTTCTAAATATCGAATCCTGGACGGTATATCAGATTGTTTCTTGAAAGATGACGAGCAAGTATTATCGAAATTAAATTATTCATTAAATCAAACCTCTCGATTTCAATGTCCAAACGAGAAACAGTGTCGATCACGCTTTTTCCCAACAAGTATCTGTTCTTTTCCGATACAGATAAATCATGATGATATCTCATTTTATAAAATATGTGATCGAATCATGGATTTACCCATGGCGTTGATTGATGGACGAAATCATTCCGATGAAACTGATTGTGAAGATTGGCAATGCAATAATATCTACACACGATGTGATGGTTTTCGAAATTGTCTTAACGGAAAAGATGAAGAAAATTGTACAAATTCAATTAGTTTAGAGCATTTTCTTCTCTGTATTTCATCACAAAATCATACATTCATGTGTTTACCAGCCGATCAAGTCACTAATGGAATCGTCAGTTGTTTTGTAGCATCATCTGATGAATTTCAAAATCGCCAGGTGAACAATATTACTTTTCAAACATATAGATTTTGTTGTTGGAATGACACAAAATGTAGAGAACAGGAAGATCTTTGCAATGAAAACGAAGATTGTCCAATGTATGATAACGAACTATTTTGTGATAATCATCCACAATTATGTAATGACTCTGATTTTGACAATCTTATCGATATGCAATATATTTCATGTCAGGTCATTAATACACGTTATATACCTTTTTCATTAGAAACTGCATTAATCTATCCGCCAGTATATACGATTCCGAATGATCCTACTCAGAATCCGATTAATAATAAAATGATAGAATCGCCATTAGTCAAGAGTTTTTCACAGCCTGAAATCTGTAATTCTGGTTTATATGTTTACTATCGACTTGGAGCCAATAATTACAGTAGTTTATGTTTTTGTCCACCGAATTATTATGGTGATCGATGTCAATATCAAAATCAACGTGTCAGTCTTACCTTAACATTGGCAACTATTAGACAGCCAATTATTTATGCTATTGTTGTTATGTTGATAGAAGATGACAACGATCGACAAGAAATTAATTCGTATCATCAATTCACTTTTGTACCACTAGAACATTGTGGTAAATTTGTGAATTTATATCTGTTATATTCGAAGCATGGAAAGAATAATTCAAAAAACTACAGTATTCGTATCGATGCATTCAATAAAGATTCACTGACATACCTAATAAGTTGGCATTTAACGATTCCATTCGTCTTTTTACCAGTTAATCGGATAAGTGCTTTTTTAACCCTTCCGATTTCTCGAACATTCGATCCTAAACACTGTACTCTTCAATGTCAGAAGGGTACTTGTATGAGATATCATAATGAAGAAAGATTCTTCTGTCAATGTCATTCAGGTTGGTCCGGTGCACAATGTAATATTCCGATCGATTGCAATATGTGTACACCGAACTCGATTTGTATCGGTTCGATTCGAAATCGATCAATCTGCGTTTGTCCTCACGGAAAATTCGGTTCCTCTTGTCGTCTTCAACTGGTATGTCCAATAGGCATCTGCAAAAATAATGGTCGTTGTATAGTAATCGATGAGAGAATGATTGATGAAAGTTATAGATGCTTTTGTTCTGAACAATTTTTCGGGACAAGATGTGAAAATGTTAAACATAGAATAGATATTTTCTTTAAAAATATCGAAACTCCATTGTATTTACTCGCTTATATTTACACTAGAATTCGTTTCGAACGATCATCACCAACATTTGTTATACTCCGAAAAATGACTATGTTTCAAAGTAATATCACCGTGTACTCTCAAGATCAGTTCCAAATGATTATTGTTAAGATTGATAATCGTTATTATTTGGCTGTACTTCGAAAATTTGAATCATCCAACATAGTAACCTCCATCAGTCCTGCACAACGATGTGTTCCAATTCATGAACTTTTGCCTACTGAATTATTCTCATTGCCGCGAATTCAACGATTGAAAAGCTATCATATTCCATGCCAAGATCATGTTAATCTACAATGTTTTGTCGATGAATTCTACATGTGTTTGTGTACGAAAGAAAATCATAGCAATTGTTTTCCATTAGAACATCAACAGACTTTTGCCTGTGAAGATAATGTTTATTGTGAGAATGGTGGAACATGTTTACAAGATCGACCTGTATGTTTTTTCAATATCCTATGTGTATGTTCTGATTGTTTCTTTGGTAATCGATGTCAATTTTATGCCAAAGGCATTGGACTGACATTAGATGATTTATTACGTTATGAAATTCGACCTAATAATACATTAAATGATCAATCATTGGTTATTAAACTGAGTGCTGCTGTTATAATGATTATTTTTCTGATTGGTACTTTGAATGGTTTTCTTAGTTATTTAGTCTTTCATAATCCAAATTCTCGTAGAGTAGGTTCTGGAATATATCTTCGATTATCATCAATCATTTCTATTCTGGTTGTCAGTATGTTAATCATCAAATTTTGGTTTGTAACATATACTTATATAAATCAATCGATCAATCGTAATGTTTATCAAATTGGATGTATACTATTCGAACCTCTACTTAGATTTTTCTTATATATGAGTAATTGGCTGAATACTTGTGTAGGCATAGAAAGAGCGATAGCAGTTTTCAAAGGAATTAATTTTAACAAGAGACAAAGTAGACGTATTGCACGTCGGACACTTTGTATTTTACCATTCTTTATTTTGGGTACGATGAGTTATGAACTCGTTCAACGTGATTTATTCGATGATTATGAAGAACAACGTGTTTGGTGTGTAATTCGTCATTCTCAATCAGTTCAAGTATATACTACCGTTGTACAATATTTTCATTTTGTCGCACCATTTTCTGCTAATCTGTTTGCGACTCTTTTCATCATACTGAAGTTAACTCGTCAACAAGCGATCCTTCGAACTCATATTAGCTATCAACAACAATTACTTAATAAGTTCAATGAGCACAAACACCTTGTTATTAGTCCTATTGTACTAGTTATTCTATTATCACCTCGTTTTCTTATTTCACTATCATCAGGATGTGTTAAAGCATCTCGAAGTCCGTGGCTGTATCTATTCGGTTATTTTATTTCCTTTACTCCATCGTCTTTTATCTTTATAATATTCGTTTTACCATCAACTTTCTACAAGAAACAATTTAAAAAAACAATTAATACTTGGTGGCAACGACTTACCAGGGCTATTAGAGCTCGCAATCCATGAAAGATGCTCCCGAAATATTTGCTCTCCAATATCAACTATCGATCTTGGAAGTGAAGGTGTACATGCGAGTGTGAATATGGATGTGGGTGTGTGATAGTTAATATACTCATACGACACCCTCACCCTCACCCACACCCTCAAATTATGATAAAGACGTAATATTCTAATTCTCCATATTTATTTGATTTAATAAAAAAAAGAAAGAAAGAAATAATCAATAGTTATTCTAATGTTTTTTCGTCAACGTTAAATTTCTGTACTCGATGATTATTTGAATCGGCAACATATAGATTATTGTTTCGATCAAATGAAATATCCAGGGGATTATGTAATTGATTTGCTTGTGATCCAGGATGACGTTCCCCAATTAAAATACTGCCTTGAATCGCTCCTCTTAACCATCGCATGATTCGATGATTCAAATGATCAACAACATAAACTGATTCTAAATGATCAACATAGATTCCCTCTGGAAATGATAAATGATGTAGAGTAGTTCCTTCACCATGACCACCTGCAACGATAATGCCTTCTTTCGCATCTTTGATCCATTTCATCACACGATGATTATGCCAATCTGATATGTATACTGAATCATATCCATCGACAAAGATATAATGAGGAGAATTAAGCTGATTAAGTTGAGATCCTGGTCCATTTGCACCTGCTACTACAATTCCTTGTGTTTCTCCAATTCGCCATCGGCTTACTTCGTGTTTTTCTATGTCTGAAACATAAATAAAATCATTAGCATCCATCGTTATGCCGTAACATTTAATCATTGATATGATCACTTCTCCATATAATCCATGTCGACGAGGCCATTTCATTATCCGTCGATTTTCTCGATCACAAATAATTAATTTATCAGCTTTTTTATCTATAAATACATCCGTTGGATAATTCAATTGATTATTCTGATTTCCTTTTCCTCTGCCACCGGCTAGTAGTTGTTCCTTTGTTGTATCAATACTCCATTCAACGATACGATGTTTAGAGTAATCAGTAATGACGACTGTTTGATTGTCATCAACATCAATACCATATGGATCGAGAAGTATATCAGAATCATAACTATCATCAGAAAAAATTTTATTTACAGCAATACCAGCTTGTATCCATTTTGTATTTGGACCAATTCGAGGGTCATGTATCATCTCTACGTATCAAAAAGAAGAAAAAAACATTTACAAATTTTATTTCCAAAATTCTTACCAACTACTTGCGTAGTTTTCATTGTGATACTTCTAATCGAACTTGTACTCGTCTTGTTTGCTACAAACGTAAGATTACTTTCGGTAACATTGAATGACTCTTTAAACAATTGCTGTGATTGATTATTTATTTCAATATCATGTATTTGTACTTCGCTATTAAATTTCCTTACAACTAGACCCACACAAACAATTACAACAAAAACAAGATATATTGCAATACTTTCCAAAACATATTTTGATCTGATGAAATTTTGTGGACAATAACCTAAACGAAAATTGTAGTGTAATAATCACCAAATCATACAACTTATTTATTTTTCAAAATTACTTATTCGTTGTTTCGGAATTACTTGTTCATCATCATCATCATCATCATCATCTATACATTCTTCTAATTCAATTTCATACTGTATATTTACATTCTTATTTTCAATATATTCAGTTTTATCTTTCACTTTGAATACTGAAAAAGGTAAAATTAATACTTCCTCTTCAGCGGATATTTTTGACATCTTTTCAATATCAATCGCTGTTTTAGTCTGTTGAATTTTAAATGTCAATAAAACTGATGCTTTTGATTGATCATGATTATCATTTCCATTTTGTTCAGCAAATAATAGAGCAACGTCTATTGTTTTAGATGTAGATAAAAATGATCGATTTAATATATAATTACCAATAGTATAGTGTTCTAACTCATTAATTGTCATTATTACACCACGATAAACAAGACCTTTATATTGATGTTTATGTATATCCGGATGATTAATTAATAATGTAACAATATGTACTAAACAATTAATTAAACGATATTTTTCTGGTGGAGAACTATAATTAATATCAAAATAATCTAAGATATATAGAGCAAGATGTTTATTTAAAACTTTATAAAAACAATTGCTTGGTGATGAATATATTTCTATAAAATATTTAATATAATTTTGTTCTTCAATTGCTTGTTTAAAACTTTGATCAATCTGTTTTATTGTCTTATCAGAAAAAGATTCATATTCTCTTAAATATTCTTTTAAATAATAATCAGTAATTTCAATTAACAATTTTGTTATTAAATGGTTTTGATTATCATAAGTTTTGTATAAATCAATTTGTTCTCGAAATCGTTTACGTTTTTCGATCATATCAGGACCAGATAAACACCAATTTATATTATCATTATTTGATGGATCAAAGAAATTATAATTTTCTTCTATTATATTTTGTATTTCATTAATTTGCGATTGATTATAAGGTGTTAATTTTAATGATTTAAATGCATTATTAGTAAGATATATTGGAATTGGTTTATTTAATCCAGAACAAATAGCAACATGTAATGAAACATCATCACCAAAAGAATGTGCACAATTAATTGTTTGAATACTTGTTTCTAAATTAAAATATTCAACAATTTGATGATTTTCCTCATTAGTAGTTAAATTAGGTTTTAATGGAATTTTTTCTTCGTTGTTATTAAACATTTCAATTTTTAAACAATTTTACAATGAAGAACATGTATTAAGCACATTTTTTGTAGTAACTTGGCATTTTGTATTTTATAAAAGAATGAGTACAATTCAATTAACATCATCACACATTTTTTATTATTATCTTGATATGATAAATTTGATCCTTTTTTTTTCCTTCAAATTGATAGTTCAAAGAATAAGTATATGCATAAAGAAAAAATCGATTACAACGAATATATTTGTTCTTCGTGTATGAATCATGTTTTGTTAAAGAATGAACAAGATAGTGTTATCACTTGATCTAGAAATGAATGTATCATCTTCAAATATTGATTATTAGCGATCATTTATTGAAAAACTAATTCATGTGTTTAAACTATCTAATAAAATTACATAATGTGCACAATCGAACATTTTTTCTTTAACATTTGACATCTTTAAGTTTAATATGATCGGCAGCAATAGCTTTATTTACAAAATCTCTAATAGCCCATTCTTTTGCTCCATCTCGACTATAACGTGTCGCTTTGCCGACAATATCCGGCGCCTTAGTATCACATCGAAATTCTACATCCCATTTCCATTCCCATTTGCGAAAACGTCCTTTTAATGTATGTGTACATGGAAATCCACAGCTAGTATCAACCTTTGGTTTATTCCAATTATGGAGTCTATAAATTGCTTCAGCTAACTGGTAACCACATGCACTATAGTTTCCACCAGCAATAGTTTTCATACAAGCTTGGACAGGAAGGTCAGTAATATTAAGGCATGACACATTGTTTTGCAAGAGAAAGATGGAACCAATGAACAAGACGAGAGTGATCGTTGATAATTGCATTGTAAATTGAAATAAAATGAAGATGTTTTTATAATAGGTAGAGAAGTCAAAATACTATTGATTATATATAGAAGAGAAGAACAAAGAGATTATTTTTCATTTGTATAGATAGATCAATTCCAACTAAACGAAGTAATTTTGATAGAAAGATAAAATGAAATTTGATACCTGGCTGAATATATCAATTTGAATGGAAGTACTTACATAACAAAGAAGCTAATGTAATATATCTTCTTTCTTGCTAGGCAGGTAAACGAAAATTTCATCTTCTTATAGTCGAAAGAAAGGAAAGAATTGCATGAACAAAATGCTCGTCATGTATAAAATACGAGATAGAAGAGAAAAGACAGCCATACGTATATGCACTCTCATACTTATACATAAATAGATGCTAACGAAAAGAAAGAGAAAATACAAATAATAATAAATGTTATTAGAGTGCTCTCCAACATCCACACTTAAGTAAGCAAATGAATTGATGATATAAATTTAAAAGAAAAAAAGAATAACGACCCTGGCAGGACTCGAACCTGCAATCTTCTGATTCGAAGTCAGACGCCATAGCCATTAGGCCACAAGGCCGGTGATGTATGAAGTACAAAAATTCTATTTTATCTTAATGAATTTAAAAGCTAACATTTTTTTATGTTATATATAAAGAGAACAATTTTTTAATTCTATTCATTCGTTTGAAATGTAAAGAAATATTTGATGCATCGAATTATATTTCCATACCATTGTAATAGTAATTTTTGAAAATAATATTATGTTAAAATCACTTCAAAAATTTGAATTATTATTTGATTATAGAACATATCACATCACAAAATGTACTAACGGTGATCAACATGATGCATTGCTAGTTGTAAATATTATTGTTTAACTATTTCAAGATTTTGTATCTATGAACTTGTTTTATAGTTAATTATATTTACTTATGTATAGTCTAACATCTATTGATGCAGATATTGATAATATTTTTATTGTTTTATATCAATAAAATCTTTTTGTCTTATCAATACATGATGAAAATACAAACAATACAAAATGTCATTTTCCTATCGCTCTTCCGTTTTGTTTTATTCTTTAATATGCATATGAAAGGTCACCGAATGAAAATAGTAATTCAAGCTTAAAAAACATATCTAATCAAAAAAGAGTTGGAAAAAATTCTGATTATAATTCCATCTGAGATATATATATGTAGGATTCTCTAATTTTTACTCAATATCTTTACTTTATGTGAAAGGAAGCACTTCTGCAATATGAATTCTGATGAAATACAACAGTCTACAACTATTCTTGTTGATCATAATGAAAATGTTCCTTTAAAATCTAAGGAACACAAGATTCATGATTGGTTATTATGGTCTTTTATCAATATATTTTTTGGATTTGGTGTTGGTTTCATTCCTTTGATTTTTTCATTAATTTGTCGATGTAAAAAACATGATCATGATTTAAAATCCGCTCAGAAAATGAGTACAGTAGCGTTTACACTTAATATTGCTACTACAATTATTGAAATCATCAATTGGATTGGATTAATTTCGTACATATTTGTTCATATTCACTCCGAATCTTTCATTGATAAAATACGTGAAGAAAATTATAATGAAATTATCAATTTTTTTTCTAATATGAAGTCACTTTGTAAATAAATAAACAGTATCTTTCATTCCTTTTTCTTATGATATTTTTTATAAAGGTCTAAAAAGTGAGATAATAGTTCGATCGAATAAAAAACAACTCTTCAATATGAATACTTATGAATCATCGTCGACATGTTCATGTAATATCTGAAGTCGAAAAAATTCGTGATTGGTTACCATGGTCTATCATCAATATATTTCTTGGAATGGGCAGTGGCTTTTTACCTCTGATTTTTTCATTCATTTTCGTATGAAGAAACGTAATCAAAATTTAAGTACCGCTCAAACAATGAGTATTTTAGTATTGGTATTTAATATCATTGCTACAGTAGCTGTAATAATTAGTTATTTACTTTTTTTCTAAAAATAAAAATTGAGATTTTATCAAATTAAATTAGAGCAATTTTTAATTTGGAATTTTTTCATATTTTTGGATTCGATGATTAAACGAATCAACAACATAAAGATTTTCTTCATTATCAAATGATAAACCTACGGGAGAATTCAATTGATTTGATAGATTTCCTCTTTCATTTCCACCAACAACAATTTCACCTTCTTTATCTCCTTCACACCAACGCATTACTCGATGATTATTAGAATCTGCCACATAGATGTGACCGAAATGATCAACAATCACTCCTTGAGGAGAAGACAATTGTCTGAGACTATTTCCTTGACCATTTCCACCAGCAACAATAATTCCTTCTTTTGCATCTTTTCGCCATTTCATTACACGATGGTTTAAAGAGTCTGATATATAAAGAGAGTAAGCCTCATCAATAAAGATAAAAGTAGATCCATTAAGTTGATTAAGATGATTTCCCCGACCATTTCCACCCGCAACTAATTCACGTTCTTTATCTCCTTGTTTCCACCGTCTTACTTCATGTTTTTCATAATCAGAAGCATAGACATATCCATTTTTATCGATTGTTAGACCCCAACAAACAATATTTGAAATAATAGTTTGTTGATTTTTATCAGTATATCGAATTACTAGGATGTCTGTTTCATCAGAAACAATAAAAGAATTGTTTTCTTTATCAAAAATGATATCTCTTGGCCAACTCAATTGATTATTTTGATTTTCTTTTCCATTTTTACCTGCAATGATTTTACCTTTATTTGAATCCAATTTCCATTTAACAATACGATGATTCCACGAATCAGCAATATAAATGGATTTATCATCATTATCAATAAAAATCCCCCAAGGATTAGAGAGTTGATTCAATTGATGTATTTTTTCATTCCCTACAGTAACAGTAATTGCAACTTGTTGAAATTGATTCTTTTTTGTTTGAATTTCTTCTAAAATAAAAGATTTTCTTTTTATTCAAAATCTTTTTTATTACTTTTAAATCAAAAAAGGGCGATAATAAGATAAAATTTTCATTTTCTTAAATTTTTAATCTAACAAAATTAATTTCAAAATAGTTTCTTCATTCAATTTCAAAGATAATAAAGCTATTTTTTATTGAATAAAACATACGTAGTTTGATTTGAGATTGAGTTGTTATTGGAGTCTTTGATATAGTCGCTGTACTAATTATAGAATGATTTAATTGATAAGAATCTTAATAAAAAGAAAATACAATGATTTATTTGAATTTAATCTGTATAAAATTGTAAAAGTATAATCTTTAATTATTTGATTTATTTTGTTGATTTGTTATTTAATAGATATAATAGTTGAACTACTTACTTGGATCTACTGATTCAGATAATTCTTCATGATTTTTGAGTTTTGTTTGTTTTTCACCCATAGAATAATTAATTATTAAATAGAAGTAATTGATTCTAATAAGTACAAAAAATAAATGTGTTAAGAGGAGAAAAAAAGCTCTTATCTGAAAATTTAATTACAATATAAAATAATCTATCAAACTGAAATGAACGTTTATAAGTGTCAACTTGATTCTTATTCGAAATCTGCTCCTAGTCCTAATTATAGCTAAAACTTATTATTTCAAATCGATATTTCTTTAAATAGAGCATAGCATAGATATATGTCAAGTGGTAGATTAATATTTGAAGACAAATGTGTGTTCACAATATAAAGACGTATCTCAAAGTCTGCATGACACTAACCTTCGTTTTGAAGAGTTTCTAATGTCTAAAACTCCTATATATATATATATATAGAATTTCAACTCTAAATCTCACTGATCAATTTATATGAAGATACTACGATCATAAACTAAAAATTGAATGAACTCAGTGTGAATGACATTCAATGAAGATGAGGCTATTGGTAAACTTGAGTGTGACATAGATAGTCTTGTGTTCATCCACACTCATGTACTTCTTATTTCCTCTTTTGCAAACTACCAAAGGAACAAAACAAGTTACAAAAATGAATATCCCTGTGACATTTACAAGTCATAATATTCGTTTGAGACTCTAATTAGAATGTAAGCTTACGAGAATCCATTTAAATTCTACTTCACATACACATTGATCTCGAAAAGCAAAAAAAAAGACGCTATAAAAGAAGAGAGGTTGAGTAATATTTACTCACGTTAGTTATTTATGAATCACTTGCTATTCTGTCTTTTTGACGTATATGCTCGTAATAGTTTCTCTCTTTGAAATAAATAAAAGTATGCACATCATATATAATTCACCTTTTATATATGAAGGTAAATAAATTCTTTTATCTTGATTTTTAAAAGAATGATAAACAAGGTTAGACATCCAAGTCGGTAAGAAGCATTTGTTTTGCTCCTATTGACGATGATGTTATTTGTCTTCATAGTTTCTTCTTAGCTTGTAAAAGGTAACAACCAAAATGTTGAGGAGTGTGAATATAGATGTAGGGTAGGCATGGATAGAAGCGACAGTTTGAATGTGGGCATTATATCTTGAGGGTGTGGGTGTGGTTGGATGTGGGTGTGAGTGATATTTCTGCTGTACCTACCCACACCCACACTCACCCCGCCAATTCTAAGTAATCTATGCAACACTTAGTTATGTCATATAGATATATATGGAGTAAAACTTAGCTATGAAATTAATATTATTAGATGATGAAAAGACTGAAATAACTAAGCACTACTCTTAACTATTTTCAGTAGTGTCAAAATACGAAACCAGGGTGTGGGTGTGCATATAGATGTATGATGAATATGGAACTGATATCGACACGTTCACCCACACCCATCCTCACCCTCAAGATGTGGGTTTCTCTTTCCTATCACCATTCATATACTATAGTTGTTTACTAAAGTTTTTTTCTCTTTAATTTGGGGTATCCTTTATGCACAATACTCAGTTAAAAAAGTACTCATTTTAGAAGGAAAAAATGAAGAACAAAAAAAAACACTTTCAATCCCATAGTAGTTTTCAATTGAGTTTTTACTTTCATTTTCTTTGAACCATCGTTCTCTATCATCGATCGCCTTTTGAAATAATATTTCTCAAGTGTAAATTATACTTAAAATGCTTAATAAGATATTAAACATGACTAATACGTGATGAGTAATATGGGTTTAAAACATTAATTCTAAATATATCAGAAACGATGTGATAATTTCACTAATAATTATAGCGAATAAAACAAAATATAGAATAATTTGAAATATTTTGATGCCAGTCGTTTGATTTTTCATCGTACCTTGCAATAGACGATAAGTAGCGTTAGGTTTCCAAATATAGAATTCGTAAATCACATCAATGGAAACAACAAGCAAGACAGGAAACTGAATTGTTAATACGATATTTGTAAGCATATTCGAAAAGACCATAAAAGTTGGGATGTGGGTGAGGTTGACAACGTTATGCATGCAAGCATTAACAACATCAATACAACGCAAATGAAGTTTTTCTCTACATTTAGTTCAATGAAAAATTGTCAGATTATACCTCATCGTGTAAGATTATAATCGATTGAAATCTTTCAAATCAACGATAATTCGATTTTTGATCGAAAAATAATCTTCTAAATCATTAAAAATATAGTAAATCAAATTTGTATGCTTTTCATCAAAATTATATTTGATTTAGAAGATTATTGTTTGTTTGCTTAAATGCAATTTAAAAAAAAGTAATAGGCTTCTCTTTATTTATTTATTTAAAACAACTTCTATATCAACATAATGATATGGATTAGTTATCAAAAATATTTAACTATATTTTTTTTGAAAAAGTTATCTGATAAGAAAATAAAACACATGATCTTTAGTTTTAACAAATATTGAAAATAAATATTTCACTAATCAATAATGATTTCAATATGTAACTAAGAAAAATCCTCCTTGTTAGTTATTTAAAATAGGTGAAAACATATAAGCTGTGTATTAGTTCTGTTTCTTCTTTTACATAAATACATTAATAGGAAGAAATATTTTTACGAATTTATTATTTTACCTCTCACAAGTAATTAGAAATGAACGAGGTCTGTATAGATTTTACAATATTTATTCTGCAGTCGTGTATATATCAAAATAAAATTTTTGTTTTTTGAAACCTTACTACTTCATTAAAAGTGCGCAAATAAAAACAAACAAATCTCAGCTAGAGTATTTAAACCATAATTTTTTGTAAACATTTCATTTTTTTACTACATAGATGATGTTGATTGTGCGATCGCTTATAATCTTATTAGTAGGTTTTAGTACTATTTTACAAGGTGTTCATTTTCGTGGTGGTACAATAACATGGTACATAATATATATATCGTTTTCTACTAATAGATTTTTTTATTATTCTATTTTATAGGCGTCCTCTGAATAATACTCCATCTGGTAGTACAGTGGCCGTTCAAATACGTGAACGATATTCATGGAATCGTATAACGTATCCCTGTGATGATGCGACCATAGCTTTACATGGTACTCTCGCAAGTAACACTTACACTTATGTCCAATGTTATACTGGTAGTTGTGGTTCTTGGACTAATATGGATATAGTAACAAACTGTACGGATTTTAGTGCTGCACTTATTGTTAGTTCTGGTGAACATTATGAAACGCAAACATTTCCATTAAATACCTCATTTAGTATTGGTTTTGTAAATGGTAATTGGCTTACAAATCTTGTTGTTGGTGGCAGCAAGGGATGGAGTGTTGTCTGTCTAGTCAACACTAATCTGAGACCCGATGGTTACATAAATTCTAGTCCTATCGCTGTCAGTCTTCCTATTGTTTACAAAGAAATTAATATTCAACAAGTACATGTTGTTCAAATGTCTGACTTTGATAGAACTGATACACTGCGATGCCGATGGGCAAATAAATCAGGTAATTTTAACGGTGCTGATGAGTGTGATGGTGTATGTTATGGTATTCCTGGTGCTAGTCTTATTGGAGATAATTGCACACTTGTGTTTACGCTTACAAATGCTGGAGTGTATGCTGCAGCAGCATTACAAATTGAAGATTATTATAGTAGTTCATATACAACACCAATGAGTTCTGTCCCAATACAATTTCTTTTCTATGGTTATGCTGCACCTACCGGTAGTTGTACTACTCCGCCTGCTATCATTGGTAATCGGCCAAATCGAGGTAAATTATATATAACTTTATTATATATTCTTTCCATATGTATAATTGTTTACTCCATTTTAGCTTGTATTGGTACACCTATCGGTTCCAATGTTACTGAATATATCATTGTCCAAGTTTATTGTCCTGGACATGCTATTGTTGATTTGGTTAGTAGTGCTCCAACTGGTATGAAAAAAAGTGGTATTATCAATTCAAGTCCTAGTTAGTGTATATTATGTGTTTTATTTTGTTTCTTTCATTATTTTGTTACAGATGTCTATGAAATCATTCTCAGTTGGATTCCCATAGCTGCTCAGTATGGTCCACAATCATTCTGTGCTGGAGCTATCGATACTATACAACTTCAATCTAATCAATGGTGTATTACATTTTTAGTTGGCTTCGACTCTCCTGATATCATTCGTCCAACAATGGTTCAAGGTTCAGCTTCACC